CTGCCAATACTGGATGTTTACCCTGAGAATTGACTAACCCCACAAAGATAAGACTCTACCCAACCCCCGCTCTGTGCCAAGCCCTCCATCATGCCCTGGGGAAGACAGAAAGGAATGGTCTGTCCTTGTGAAACATTGTATCCTATTGGTAACATCTAGGCACGTGATGAGTATGGCCTGTGATGCGTGCTCTGTGGGAGGGATGCCCATGGTGAAATGGCATTCAGGAAGGTTCTATAGAGCAGGGACACTGGAATGAATTCCTAGGTGCCGAGAGCCTAGAACTGAGGCTGGCACACAGGAGCAGCTTTGTATTTGCTGTTATTAGTCTTTCGTCCTTCCTATCCTGACCAGCTAACTGTGTCAGTGGTCTCGGGCTTGCCTCCCTGTGGAGTCCGTGGTTATGGCGTTGGGGGCCTCCCAGCACCTGGCCCGATGGAGGTCAAATGGTAACTGCCCATTGAAGTATATTTGCTCTGGGGAGAATTTCTGGCCATCATCCCATACAGTGATAAACGTGGACCCTGGCCTTTTCTCTGTCTTGGGGGGCGAGAGGTGCTGAGCTGTGGCTGCAGACCCTCCCCCAGGTCTCTCTCCCTGCCAATGCCACCTTGCACCCCATCCCCCTGCCAGCTTCCTACAGGGCAGATCCTAACAGCCCTGGATGGAAGAGTCGGGGTGTGTGTGGGGGTCGGGCAACAGCCCCGCAAGCCCAGATGGAGAGGGGGCTCCTTACATTCGGAGGGACACTGACAAGCCAGGTGGGTCCAGCAGGGAGCAGCCAGAGTGGACAGGGCCCCATAATCAGAGGAACTGGGGCCGGAGTGCCATACCCAGGGGAAATGGGAGAGTCTCGGGAGGTGAGGGGAGCCCAGAGGGCAGGGGAATGCAGCTGGTGCAGGCTCCGAACAGGAAATGTTCCCAACATCATGACAGCTCCTAAGCAACACATCCCCTGCCTGACCCTTCAGTGTGCCCACAGCTCCCAGCTGAGAGCGACTGGAGCACACACTACAGTGTGCCAGGGCTAAGGGTCCCATGACCATGCCCTCCCTGGGTCATCTTAGTCTTCTGCATCCTCCATGCCTCCTACAGAACCATGTGGACTGTTGGCTCCTGTTCGCTGCTTAAAGGAAGAACTGAACTCCCGTGGTGGCGGAGAGACAAGATGGGGTAGAGGGATCGGATAGAGCTGGGTTCAAATCTCTGTTCCTCACCTATTAGCTGTGTGGCTTTGGGCAAGTCACTTAGCTCCTCTGAGCCTCAGTTTCTTTGTCTGTGAAATGGGAAGCCCAGGGCCTACCTCCCTGGTTCAATGAGCCGCTGTGTGCAAAGTAGGTGCAGAGTGGCTGGCGCCTTCATAGAGGCTCAGTGAACTGGTGAGAACTTTCTCTGAGTTTCCACACATCTCCGTCTGTGCATGCTGCGACTCTCCTTCAGGACCGCGTCGCTGACACCTCTTGGGTCCCATGCAGCTCTCTGACTGCTCAAGACTCAGCCTGGCCCACAAGGGACTATGCACCGGAACAGACAACTGTCCACCTTCATCCTAATGGAACCTGGAGGCCACCTCTTCTGTCCCCTCTGGGGTCCCTGCCTCCTTCCCCATCCTTCATTTTGATAGACTCAAAAGGACACCCTAGAGCACAACTCAAGCTGGAAGTTTCTAGAATTCATGAAAAAAGCCCGACACTGGTGGCAGAGGTGTTCCCAAGGCCCGGGTGCCTCACACCCCCAGGCCAGCCTGCTCCTTGGAGAAGGGTTGGTACCTCCTATTTTCCCAGCCAGGAGGCCTGCGGGTTCCCACATTACCACATGAATGGGGCACAAGCCCCTGGTCCACTCGAGCAAACAATTTGGCTAGCAAATTGACATAATTATGAGAGACAGAGAGGGAAGAAAGCGGCCCCCACCCCGGAGGCCCCCCAGCGGGTGGCTCCCGCCGAGCTCCTCCCTGGCTTTGTGGGCCCGGCGCTCAGGGCTGATTAGAAACCGTGTGGCCTTTTCAAGAGCCCTAAGTGATTGGCCCCCTTAATCTGAGTACAATTTGCAGAGCCCCTCCAGCCGCCTCTGAAGGGCCTTTCTCAAGCACCCCGCTCGATGGTGCGCACACACACACACACACACACACACACACACGCTTAGCACCCACTTGGGCCTGCTGGTGAGGGCTCTGCTTCTCTTTGTCCATGCCTCACTTCCTCAGTCAGGGACCTTCAGTGGCCCCAATGGCTGCCCTTAGGCCCCAGTCCCCTCAAGGTACGCGCTAAACTTCAGACACACGCTGCCCCTAACACACTGGGTCACCTATCTTTAAGGTCCCACACAGATACCCCACCCAGGCAAGGGGCACATGTGGACACCCCATCATCCATCCTTCGTCAGAGAGGCCACTCCCAGCATCCAGTTCCAGGCTGCGTGACCCCATCGAGGGCGACCCTCTCTCCACAGCAGCTATATTTCTGGGGCTCCTCAGGCTGCAGCTCCCAGGGGATTAGGCCCAGCGGGCAGCCAACTCAGGCCCAGGCTGCTCAGACTACCCCCCCTGGGAACTCAGCCCTCCACAGCCACTTTGTAGCTCTTAATCCCCGAGGCTCAGCCACAATGGCTCCTTTTCCCATACTTGTTCTTGCAGGCCCCAGCCTGGCCTCCCACCCCAAATGGAGTCCCCCCACCCCCGGGGCAGCAGCTTAAGATGAGGGAGGGGTGGGGGGTAAATCTGGGGCCAAGGCAGAAGGGGACAGAAGATGGGGCTAGCTGACCATGCGTCCCCCAGGAGGAGCAAGTTGGGCCTGAGCCGGTAGGGAACTTGCCTAGGGCCCTCGCGGGTGACCCCCCCAGCCTGCTACACCCCCATACTTCACGGCCCGCAGCCTGGAGGCCCTGAGAAGTGTTTTCTCCACTTAGGAACCTCACTGTCTTCTCAGACTGTCCGGAAGCCCTTCATGTGGCTGGGCCAGAGAGCAGAGAACCTGGAGCCCAGTTTGAGACGTTGGAATCAGAGGGACCCGGGCCCCAGTCTCACCCTAGCACCATCTTTAATAACCCTGTGACCTCGGAAGGGTTACTTATCGCCTCCGGGCCTCAGTCTCCCCACCTGTGAGATGGGTCTGATACAAGCTTTCTGTCAGGGTGGCTGAGAGGTTCAAGAGCAGAAGGGCTTCAGGCACTCAGTAGGGCGCCGTACACACAACAGCCATCAATGCATCACGGGTGAGCCGAGACGAGGAGGAAACACAGGTGGGGGAAACACAGGTGGGGGAACAGTCTCTGTGCACCCCTGCAGCCCTGCTGGAAACGTGAGGCTCCGCAGTGCCGGGGCGGGGGGAGGGGGGGCCCTGCCTTTCAGGACAAGGCCTCGCAGGCGCCAACAATTTTTAGATCTCATCCCTGATCACGAGACGAGCCGCAGAGCGAGTCTGGGCAACAAGGTCTAGACCTAGGTCGCTCCCTGCATAGGGCCCCGGGCACGGGCCCCCAGGGCAGCCTCGACAGTGCCCTGAGGCCCCCGACCGACCTCTGCCCTCGGTGCCCTCCCCGCACAGCCCCCAGGACCCAGGTCGGGTAATGGGGTGGGGGGGGAGGAGGAGTCCCGCCCCCGCCCCTCAGAGCCCCGTGCTGCGCGGGGTCTGGCCCAGCGAGCGGAC